GGGTATCAGCCAACTATCCTCGCATTTTGGAGAGGTTGGTATCCCTGGAGGTACAACTGGTTAAATTTTTGATTAGCAAGAGCAGACATGTAGTGTGATACAAGGGAGGAAGCTTAAGAATAGGAGAGCAAGAACATAGGCATTAGGATGGGCATTGGCCAGGAGAACCACTGTGAAATGTTGTTCCCTAGACAATTTCAAGAGTCCTCCAATTCCCTTCTCCATTTTTCTAATTGTTTCTTGAGAGGTGCCGCCATTGGGGGAACTCATTGAGCTTGACAGCAGTGGGTGTCATGAGAGTGACCAGATGAGGGGTGGTCCATCGAAGTCCCAATGGAGAGGGTAGAAGATCCTTTTGGGGAACAAGATGCCCTGGTTTAACAGAAATTGTTATAGGGTGGGGCAGGATCTGGTTTGCATGCTCTCTGAGAAGTTCCCTGAGAAGGCAGGTAGTCAGCCAGAGGAGCAGAGTCTGTTGGAGGCAAGTTTTCTAAGAGACATGGGTGGCCATACATTATCTAAGACCCAAACAGGAATATTAGGAGGAGCATAAAAAGGTGTCTGTTCAGGGATCTAAATTCTGCAAAATCCTATAACTGCCAGGAAAGCTGTAAGCTGTCTTATGGTATGGGGGTTGGGAAACAGAAGATTGAGTTGATGCATTTATGACTCAGGGAGTGAGTCTGTCCCTTTAAGGCCACACCTAAGTAGGTGACCTGTGGGAGGCAGGGGGTGTCAGGATTTAAATGTAACACTCTTGGATAAAAGAGAGCTTTAGCTCATTATTTTACATAAATTGACACTTTTAACTTTTTAAATGTTTGTACCATATTAAGATAAAGTATAGCATAACACTGTTACAAGGTGGTCATTTAAGACACATAAGCAAATATGTAAATGAGCTCTGATTTAGTAGTACTTAAAGCTTGACAAGATCAGCAGAAAACACTAATAATTTCTTTGGTAAAATCTTTCTCTGTAATGGTTTTTTGTAGATGTTACTCAGAGCAGAACAATATTAAGATAACCTTGTTATTTCATAGACATAGAGGATTTGATTTTAGTTTGACATGACCCTAAAAATCTTTTAGGCAACTCTTAGATTACATTCAATTTTATCACACACCAAAGCTTTTATTATACACTTTTCAAATGTACTCAGACCTTCATACAACATACTAAACCCTTTGATGGTTTGTCCTCATCTTTCCTATTTGAAACAATCTTTAGTACAAACCCTTCTTTACAAAATCCCTTCTCATCCAAAAAACCATTCCTTTTTCCTTTAACTTCCCCCAAAATACATTTATTACCTATCTATATCCTTTCCAGTTGTTTACTTTGTAACTTGTATTTTAAAATTAACCTGTATAAGAATTTTAAATTTATTATAGGGGCTGGAGCAACTAATTAGTAGCCCTTGTTGTTTTAAGGAATTTATGATAGGCATAAGTCCTCATCATCCCCCAGGCTTGAGGGGATATTGTTTTAGGTGTGGAAACGGTGAGGGATTTTTGAGTTTTACTTGAATAGGGAGGGCCTCCTGGCTCACCCTACACTCATCTCATCAGTCCACACTGTGGAACCTTCTTTGTTCCTGAAGGAAGAGGCAGCAGAATCAGTCATCACTAAGTTCTAGTGGCATGCAAGGCCAAAGGGCCTGGGGCTATGGGTCACCTGGCGCCAGGTTTTTTGGATTGGGGGGGTCTCTGAGACCCACGACAAAATAGACCCAAGCCTGATGAGAGGGAAGGGAACCCCTCTACCGTCTGAGCCCCAGAGATAGCCAAGCAGGGAAAACACTCAAATCCCAGAGACACCGAAGGGAGAGACTTCAAAGGGAGCCCAAGAAGTGTATGTGGACTCACCAAAGAATGTCCGGTGTTGGATGAGAGCGAGGGCTATCGGGAGGATGAGTCCTGGCCAGTCACATCCTCAGGGTGGTCGTGGGGTGAGTCGGAATTGGGGTCCCACCAGGATTAGTGGGGAAACCTGCCCCGAGTCATGGCACCAAAATGTAAGGCAAATGTAGGCCCCCAAAAGTGACCACGTGGAGAGGAGTGATCTGGCCAAGAGATTCTTTATTGCCGGGTGGGAGAGGGAGAGAGCTGAGAGAGAGAGAGAGAGAGAGAGAGAGAGAGAGAGAGAGGCAGGCAGGGGCTTAAATACCCCTCAGTGAGACTCAGAATGATCTGATTGGTTGGGATCTTATGGTTCATGCTGATTGGAGGTTGTGGCAGAAGGAGAATTCAAGCTAGACTTGAGGCAGGACTTGTGACCCTGGAAAACAGAAGCTTAAGGGTGCAGTTAAGAACCGAAACCTATCAGCATCATCATTGCCAACAAAAAGGAGATACATAGATATATAGATATAGATATACACACAATCCATGCACACACGTTATAATTACACATTGCCTGAGTTCATCCTCATAAATTCTTCCTTATAAGGTAACTATACATGTGTATAGCAGAAAGTGAGTTTGCGTCCATTAATGATTTATTAAGGGTTTTAGATAGTAATAACCAACACTTTAGAACTCAGGCTTCATTTTTTTTTTCTTTTTGCAGTACTGGGGCTTGAACTCAGGGCCTTACACTTGCACTTTCTAGGCAGGTGCTCTACCAATTGAGCCACCATTTTTTGCGTTGAGTATTTCTGAGATAGGGTCTCATGAACTATTTGCCCAGGCTGGCCTTGAACTGCAATCCTCCTGATCTCTGCCTCCAAGTAGCTAGGATCACAGGCAGGCATGAGCCACCAGCACCCAGCCAAGCTTGATTATTCAAAGGGCATCTTAGGCTAAAAAACTGAGTATCTCACAGAAATAAAAAAAGAAGAATGCTAACACAGAGTCTTGGGTTTGAGATTAATCATCTTGTCAGACACATAGTAAACACAGGCAAAGAGAGACCTAGAATCAAACCACTAGAGGGTGGGGGCAGGGGGGAGAAATGAACCAAGCCTTGTATGCACATATGAATAATAAAAGAAAAATGAAAAAAAAAGAATCAAACCACTATGTGGGGAGTGGTACACAGAGGGGATGAGAATAGGGACTGAGGAAAAAAGGAAAATGAAAAGTAAGAGCAGAGGCCACCTTGACCAACCAATGATGATTCCTGCTAAAATTTGCTATAATTAACTCAATTCTCTGCACCTGAAGGCAAAACAAACCCAAACAATGGGAACCCCAGGGAAGAACCATACTGTGTCTTCCCCCTAAGTACCAGAGAAAACAATTTAGCATCAAAATACTTCTGATGCACAATCACAATGTGATACAATTATCAATATTCAGGATTAAAGCAGAAAGAAACAAAAAGACTTAATACACAGAGTAAACAAAAATTGTAAGTTGGAGAAAGTTGTAGAGGCACTATAGAAGAAACACCTTTATAACAGCAGCCTTCCATGCTGTCTTATTTATTAGAGACATTCATGCAGATAATAAATAGTCAAATCAGTTATGGCCCAGAAGATATCCCTTCATTCAGTGGAGTTTTCCAGGTCTTTTTTCTCTAAAAAGGGAAATTGCATAATTTTATGCAGGCAATAATCCAGAATAAAAAGGGCCGATGGAGGGCATGAGGTCCTGAGTTCCAACCCCAGTACTGACAAAAAAAAAAAAAAAAAAAAAGAAAGAAACACTACAGCTTTTTTCCAGCCAAAATTTAATTTTCTTAGGTAATGATACTCATTAAAATGGTCCTTTCCACAGAGGAGGTACTCCTTTCCCCCTCAAAAAAAATTTTTTTAAAGAGGTGTTAAATGTAATCTCTCATATCAAAAAATAAATAAATAAATAAATAAAATGGTCCTTTCAAGGGCTGGCAGAGTGGCTCAAGTGGACGAACAGTGAGTGTGAGGCTCTGAGTTCAAACCACAGGACCACAAAAAAAGAAAAAATGGTCCTTTCCATTAGCTATTCTACGTGGAAGTAAAAGCTTTCAATCTTGTTGTTTTGTCAGCACTGGGGTTTGAACTCAGGGCTTCATGCTTGCTAGGCATGCACTCTACCTCTTGAGCTACTTCTCCAGCCAGGGTATTTTCAAAACATGATACTCCTGATCTCTCCCTCCTGAGGAGCTAGGATTACAGGTATGAGACACCAGCTAAAAACTTGAAATCTTAAAAGTATCAGTTCAAACTAATGGGCTAAAAGAAATCAGAATATGTTTATTATGAGTGAAGGACAGGATTCAATAATTGAACGTCATTTTATTCTTATTACAAAAAGACATCTGTGTTTTCCTCAGCTGTGATAAGATATATTGGAAGAAAATAAGGGGAAATGTGAAAAGTCTAAGAGTTATATGGGGACCACCTTGAACTGATGCAACCTATATTAGCTTCTAAACAATTTTACACTGAATTGAGTTTGGTGCATTATGTTTTTGTTTGACAGTACTAGGAGCTGTGCTTGCTACAAAGGTACTCTACTACTTGAGCTACACCCCCAGTCCTTTTCACTTTATTATTTTGAAGATAGGGACCCCAGTCCTCCTATTTGTGCCTCCCGATATAGGTGGGGGTGACAGGTGTGCCTCTGTGCCCAGCCACTGGTTGAGATAGGATCATGAGAACTTTTTTGCCCAGGCTAGCTTTGACCCACCATTCTCCCGGATTTCCACATCCCTAGTAGCTAGGATTACAGGCTTAAGCCATATCACCAGCCTGGTAGATCATGTTTTAAATACCTGTTATCCTTAGGAACACAGGTTTAATCACAAGCATATAGGTTTATACTTGCTCACATAGTAAACTATCAAATGCCACACAGCTTTAGTGTAGGAGGTCAAAATCCATTGTATGAAAAATGATAATTATGTTTAAAGGAGAAACATTATGCTTTTAGTCAAATAAATACTTAGATTTCTCTAAGCCATCTTGATTTTCCAGGCACAGTTGGTCATATCTGAAGGCGCAATTGCTAAACAGGCAGGGCCTGAAACATTCACCCCACTCAGTACTTCCTCATTTACTTTTCTTCCCTTACCTGATAATGCGCCTGGGCCTGCTGCGCTGAATTCAAGGTGACATTACAGAGTTTGCAATACAGGGGCTTACATAGCTCCTCCAGGGCCGAGTCTGGCTCTCCTCCTTTAGGTAACTCTTCTTCCCCTGCCAGAGGCAAGGAAGCCTCCTGCCCAAAAGACTTCTGTGGTGGAAGCTGCAAGGTTCCTGTAGACCTGGTGGCCACTGACATAGGAGGAGAGGATGAGGGCCGCTTAGGTTGAGGAAGCCCAGCGTGTTGCAGGAGGATCATTGGGCAAAAAAGCCTTGGGCATAATCCAGTGAGCGATGAGAAGTTGAGTCTTCAAATCTAAATCAACAGCAAAACAAGCACTTAAAAAAAAGACCTCATCAACATGACATGTAAACGACAACACCCTCTGACTCTTTCCTCTACTTCTCCAACCTCATCATTGAGACTTCTTTCCTTCGCCCCAGACAGCAGACTTCTCCTGCCCGTGAATTCACAGTGACACAATGCTCTTCCACCACTGGGAATGCTTCATGAATTTGGCTTTACGGTGAATGGCACAGCTCCAACTGCCATCCCTCTGGCCCATGAACATTAACAGCATTGCATCCATGGCTAATTAAATCCAAAAGTCACATTGCTGAAATGGACATCAAAGGTCACCTAGTCCAGACCCCTTCCCTCAGGCACACTTAAACACTCTTGGTGATAATCAGGCATAGTCAGAACAAAACAAAAAAGACTCTAGCTAAGAATCTTAGCACATCTCTTTTCCATCCAAAAGATATCAAAAAGGTGAAAAACAGTATCACTTCACAGGACCATTAAAGCACTTCTACAAGCAGATAATGTTAAGGAACTACAGAAATAACCCAGAATTAAAATGTAACAAATTAATAAAAGGTGTTTCTTCTGATCAGCTAGCAATACTTAAGTATTTGAGTAAATGATTCCTTACAGCAGAGTTGGAACAGACAGCCTATGAGCCACATCCAGTCATAGATGTGCTGTTGGGAATATACAGTGCTTTGTTTTGCACTCATTTTTAAATAGAATTAGTTGTCAATATTTAAATACCAAGAGATTTGTGACATCCCTTGGTAAAAGGATGACCTGGAAACACTGGGCCCATGTTCCTCGGTGGGAAACAACTATCTAGTTAGTGCTCACCCGAGGCACTATACCCTGTAGACAAACCTGTCTTCACCGAGCCACCTCAATCCCCATTCAGGCTGCTCACTGTAGGCCCTCGCTATAGGCCACCTCATACAGCCTTAAACTATACACAGGAGTCCTTTGTAAAACCAAAATACTTTTTCTCCTTTATGAGATAAATTATCTGCACAAAATAAGGTATCCAGGTTGTTAATTGTCTGTGAAAGTAACAAGTCATAAGCTATCATAAGCTCTATTATAATTTCAGGTCCTTAGTCTTCAAACTACTTCTTTCCCCCTCTTCCTAAATAACTGATAGTCTTCATTCTACTTCCCTCAGGAAAAAAAAAAAAAGGTATGTTCTACTCCCTCTTCAATCTTTATCTATGATTTCTCCTGCCTCCCACTTGGATAGCATCTTTTAATTCTGAGTATCTCAAAGTGAACCGCAGTACACCCTTGAGTTCCCAAGATTCTAATTAACCCAAATTAGAATCCTTATTTCAAAATCTTCAATTCCCTCCACACTCTCAATATTATTAAAACCTCTTTTCTTAGTCAACAGAATGTAGCTATTTTAAGCTGATGAAATTTTCCATCGACAATGGAAATGTGTCCATTATGGCAATAATCACCTTATTAAAATGAATGAAGTTTTGAAAAGCTAATAGTATATTGTACCACATTTGATAAATATACAGCACTGAAAAAAATTTATTCCAAATTCAGGATCTGGGGCAGGAGAGGAAATCACTGCGATTGGGAAATAATGTAGTTAAGGACAAAATGAATAAATTATTAGTCAGAATTTAACAATACTTTTCACTAATCACAATACTTAGAAATATAATAATATTATTTGACTTTTAAGCAAAAGTATGTTGCCCATATCTCTGGGAACATAAAAGCAAAACATGGGCTGAAGTGTGGCTTACATGATAGAGCACTTGTCTAGCTAGCAGGAAGCCCTAAATTCAAACCCCAGTATACACACACACACACACAAGCAAAGCAATACAGATTTAGAAAAAAATCTAAATAAATATAATGGTATTATTTCTCTTAATTAAATCAAGCAAAGACAGAGACATTTTTAAATGGAAACCTAAAGAGACAAAGACTAGCTTTTTAAAAAGTTTAACTAACTACCTAATCATAATAATTGATAATGCTGAAGGCTACACATAACACCTACACAGTCATTCTCGTGCTAAATTGCCACAAGCATGCTGCTGGGTCATCAGAGAAAGATGGAGAAGGATGTCAAAACACCTGGATAAAAGAAATCAGCAATAAAAACAGAAAACCAAATGCTACCAATCGCCAAGACATGCCTGGACTTGTTTTATGAATGCTCACTCCCACTTGAGGAAATTCCAACACGTGTTTCCCCCAGTATTACCTACAGGTTTCCACCAAAAAGGTCTCGTCTCAGAGTGAAGAGGTACAAAAGGTCTCCTTCCAGCAGAATGGAATTAAAGGGATAAAATTACAGTATAGACTTAACTATTATTGTATTTTATATTTATAATGTTTAAAGAGTGGCTAGATATATCAAAGTTATTTCTTCGGTTTATATTCAACAATCGACATGATAATGTTAACTCCCAAAACAGATATCTACATGACATTTATAACAGGTATTATCAGTACACTGCAAACAAAAATTTGCATACACACACATATAAAATAAAACTAAGTCCTCAGACCCAAAACATGTGACTCAGATCCGATCAACTGCTGCATTTATTTAAAAGAAACTAATTTGAAGACTATTATAAACATTCCTCAGATCTTAAAAACCATTCAATTTGATTCTTGCCGTGGCATCAGTGAAGGATTTATGGGTGGTTAAGGTTCCAGTTCAGAAAGGGGTTGCGAGGACACTACAGAAAACAAAGCTCCCGATGTACCCCGTTTAGAGAACACGAACTGTCACAGCATACTTAGTTTTCGAGACGGGACCGGGGCCTACTCTTCACATACTGTATTGAAGACAATCGCTTTCTCACTGGGAGAAATCTACAGAGGAAAGAGAGCAGAATGCAAGAACAAGTTTCCGGCATCTCAGCGAACTAGAAAAGACTGTCGTTGGGAATTCTGGACACGAGGGAAAGATGGGGCGCATCACTCAGAGGTCATCAGAACAGAAAAAATCATCAGCGGAGGCGAGGTGGTGATAGGACAGGCTCCAAAACCGCAAAAGTGAGGAGGAGGCCTTGGTGAACTGGCGAACGCCTTCCAGTGTCCGCTACGACGGTCCCTAATCTTGGGGCACCGTGTACACAGGTGAACCTGAGCCACAGGGAGAGACTCGAGCATCGCCCACACACACCCTACGGCGCTGCCGTGCGCGCGCGCGCGCACCCTCGGCCCCACAAGGCTGCCATCAGCAGGGATGGAGCCCCCGGCCCCCGCCGGGCGGGGCAGGTGGGAGGGCCCAGAGCTGCACGCGCAGACGAGCCGAACGCCACACGTGAAATGCTTGAAACAAACAGCTAAACAAGCGCGGCGCAGGCAGCGTCACGTGGAGGCAGGTGGAAGCCAGCGGGAAAAGGAGCCGCTGGACCCCGCGCCCACGCCGGTCCCAGCCGCCCCAAAGCTCCGCGTCGCCCGCACTCACTCACCGGAACCCCGGGACGCGCCGGCAGCCTGGGCGCCGCGTCGGTCGGGGACGCCCGCCGCCCGCCCCGCGCGCCCGGCCCGACCGGCACAACCCCGCCTCTGCTCCCAGCAACTTTCTCCGCTTGCCGCCGCCAGGCCCCTTCCACAGCTGAAGGCTGACTGTCAAAAGTCAGTCCAAGCCGACCCACAGGGAAACAGCTGCAGGAAGTGACTGCGGAACCGGGAGGCGGCGGAGGAGGAGACTGAGGGCGCCGGGCGCCGTCGCCACTGCGCATGTGCCGGGAGGAGCTGGCCGGGTGGCGGCGGAGGCGGCGACCGCATCTTCGCGGACCTGCGGCGCGCGGGACAGGTCCGCGCGGGGCAGGTGCAATGACCGTGCGGGGCTGATCGCGTAAGAGGAGCCAAGCAGGAAGCACGATCGCCAATGTCAGCCGACTGCATCGCGTGCATACCCTGGAAAGTTGATCCATAGCAGGAGCCTAGGCAGAGCTTTTGCAACTTTCATCTTCCTGCTAGGAGATCCAAAGATTTTTCATCACAGCCGGTCCCTCAGCCTGCTGGAAGCCGGCTAACGCAGCCGAGTGGAACTGCCAAAATGTCCAGCAATCGTTGCTGCGACAGAACCTGTGAGCTACACCTGTCCGCACTTCCGCCCCTGGATGGAAGCAGAGCGTGTCCCCCCCCAGGCCTCCTGTTGCTGGAGTGCACACACCTGTCCTCTCCCTTGCACTAAAGTCAGCTGAAGATGGAGGAGACTTTTTCACGATCCTCAGAGCCCCACCTGCAAGACAGGAAGGACCAGGAAGAACTGTCTAACCATAGGATACCACATCTGCTTGTAGCCAACCTGGACATCTTCAGAGGTGACACTGAGAGACAAGCTGAGGGATTCCAGCTCTAAAATTCCACTAGTTTCAAGTACTTTCAGCACAAGATTTGCTGGTTATTATTTCCTCTGTGGAAAACATGACATAAATTTACCATTTAAGCCGTTTTAAGGAGTAGAGTTCAGTGCATCAAGTACATTTACGTTCTTGTGTGATTGTTTTTAATCATTAATTAAAATGCCAAGGAGATCCAAGTATAGCAAGAAGTTCTAGAAATAGGTAAACTTATGCAGGAAACTAAGGCTGTTTTGTTGACCGAATCATGCACCATCCAATACCAACAACAAGCTAGCATCAACTTTCTAAGTTTGATGACTGCTTAGCAGACATATACACACAGTGTACACTGGCCAACTGCATGTGAATATATACTATGTGTGACAAAATAGAAGTTACTGTAATTCATTAAGCTGTTGGTCTGTTTTATGCATTGTTCTATATCTATGTGCCAAGGTTTGAATATAGTTTGTCTCCAAACTTCCTGTTGAGATTGTATTGCCATTGTGGCAGTGTTGGAGGGTAGGGCCTTTAAGAGGTCATTAAGAGGGATTAATGCCGTTTTCACAGGGCTGGATTAGTCACCACTAAAGCAGGTTATAAAGCAAAGCTTGTGTTTTGCCTCTTTCATATGCATGCACATAGCATTGGGTTTTTCCACCACGTTAGGATGCATCACCACATGCATCCTCCTGATCTTGGACTTCCAACCTCCAGAACCATGAGCTAAATAAACTCCTTTCCTTTATAAAATACATAGTCTCAGGTATTCCATTATAGAAACAAAAAAAAAAAGACTAAGACATCATGTCATATTATACACAAAAAGTCTTAAACAGAAGAAAACAAATAGCATATCTCCAATGCAGAGATATATAAAGCAGTTTATTTATTTATTGGTGGTACCAGGTTTGAACTCAGGGCCTCATGCTTGCTAAACAGGTGCTCTACTTGACTCACTCCGCTAGCCCTAAAGCAATTTATTTAATAGGCAATAAAATGATAGATTGTCATTTCTTAATTTTTAGGATTTTTTTTATTTTTAACTTTTAGAATTATTTGATCTTGCCCTTTATTTTCTCTTTTGGAGAATAATCTCACTGATGATGTAAATAATCTTGAGAATGTCAACCTGTTGTTCCTTAATGTTAAAAATAATTCCCCCTTGAAGAGCTGGGGACATGGCTCAAGTGGTGGAGTGCCTGCCTAGCAGGCATGAGGCACTGAGTTCAAACCCCAGTGGTACAGGGAATGCTTAGCATGTGTGAGGCCTGGGTTCAATCCCCAGTACCTATTATTTTGGTAATAATAATTCATTTTTGTCTACTTAGAATATTTTTGACCAAAATAAATTTATTAATCTTTTAGGCCTTGGCTAATATGGCATCTCCTCTGTGAAGTCTATCCTAATTCCAAGGTCACAGTTATCAGTAGGTTCATCTATGCCAAAACCCATATACTTTCATTCATAGATCTGAGAATTAAACCTATGTAATTCTCTGCTCCTGTGTTAAACAATGCTAGGACCAAACATCCCTTCCTGTATTGTGTTAAGTGATTCTGAGACATGCTTACTTTACTGTGTTTAATTAAACACAACTGAAAACAAACAAAACAAAACTTAGTATTTGCTTCTGGAGACATTTGCTCCTGAGATAAGAATTTGAAATTCCCAAAAGAACTAGAGTTACATTTTTTAAAAGCAATTTAGGAATTCCTTGTGTAAAAGAATGCTGACAAATATTAAACATTATATTTATATCACAAATATAAAATACAAAACATCCAATATTAACAGTGATAAGTTAACTGACTTGGATTTAGATACTGAGTATTTTACATAAAATGACTACTTTTTTTTTTTCAGTACTGGGATTTGAATTCAGGGCTAAGCAGGCACTCTACCGCTTGAGCCACATTCCCAGCCCTAAAAGAACTACTTCTAAAGACTAAGATCTTCACTTTTTGAGGCCATGCCCCACTCAAACTGCCCTATGGAGATGCACACATTAGTGAACTGGGATCTCCTGCCAACAGTCATGTGAGTGATGGGAAGGTGATCCTCCATCCCTACTCAAGCCTTCCACAACTGCAGCCCCAACAGGGTCATAACCCCATGAGTGAACCTGAGTCAGAACCACTCAATTAAACCACTCCCAGACTCTCAGTCACAGGAACTATGGGAGATAATGAATGTTCTTTTAAGATGCTAAACTTGAGATAATTCATTATGCAAAACTAATACAAGTCCTCCCCCCACTTTCTCCCTCTCTCTGTTTGAGTCTTTAAACAGTTTAGATTACTTTGCTAAAAATAAAAAGTATCTCCTTACTGAGTTTTATTTTATTGTTTGTTTGCTTCCTTGCCATTATTTTCTGTTTCTACTTCCTGACTAACTTAAAAATCACACTGTCAAATTTCCCAAGAAAAATTCCTTTGGAATTTTAACTTACAACATTCCTTTTCTGACATTCTACAATGATTCAAGACTTTAATGACCTTCACTAAGATTTTGTGATTTTTTTATCATAAGTACAATATATTATTAACATTGTTAAAGAGCACAAAATATTCTTTTGGGTTCAGAAAATAAAATTTATTATATTTTAAGTATAATATAGAAAGATTACCATAGTCTTGCACTATACTAAGACATTTAAAATACTTTATTGTCTCCATGTACTGTTGCTAGAATTCTATGCTCTTCCTTGTGGGCAGATCTATCAATACAGAAGAAAAAGAAGAAATTATCTTCATCATGATAACCAACCACATTCCTCCTCTGTACCCTGTGAGTTGTCAGATTATCAAATTTAGGCTTTGCAACCAGAACACTGGAAATAATTCTCCCTCTCTCTGTTTCTCTCTCTCTCTCTCTCTCTCTCTCTCTCTCTCTCTCTCTCTCTCTCTCTTCCTCCCTCTGTCTCTTCTCTCATTTGTGTTGCCTCCCTTATTCATACCAGTTATCTTCCAGCTGTTTCTTTGCTTTGACATCAGTAATTGTGCCCATGTGACAAAGAAAGTCAAACCATACTTCCTTCTGACCATTAACCCTTTCAGTCACTGTACTATTTTAGGGAAATGCATTTTCATTTGATATCTGTATATTCTTATCTGCCACTCTGTGTGGGTGCTTATCAATCTATCCAAAAATAGAAAGAAAAATATGTTCATCTAATGTTGGAAGGAAAGGACACTAGCTTGTAAAAAGAACCTACTTTGGCAGGTACTATCTAGTGAGGTAGGAATTATTTTATCCATTCTAAGAATGAATGCAATGATTCTTAAATGTTAGGTTATAGTTCAAAGTTGTCCAGTTTAATTCTCTCTGACCCCCAGGCATTGGTTTCACTTCTCAAACTCTAACATGTGCACAAATTACCTGGTAATCTTTTTTAAATGTAGATAATGTCTCAGTAGATCTGCAGTCAGGACCATGATTCTTCCTTTGTAACAAGGTGATGCCAGCACTGCTAGTCTCCATATCACACTTTAAGTACCAAAACATAGATCATACTGAATTGGAGGCAATGCAATTCATTGGAAGAAGTAAAGATTTTGGAATCTGACCATCTGAATTCCAGCTCTAATGCAGGTATGTCCTAGCCTTCTGACTCGGCATGGGTTCTTTCAATTCTCTAATCTGAAAAATAGAGAAAATAAATCCAGCTCCATAGGACTGTTAGAATAAAAAAAAAAACATATTTCTACACCTAATGCAGAGACTCAATGTTGATTTGCCTGTACTTGGGGATTTATGTTGTTCTTATAAATCCTTTAGATATTCAGTAGGTATATTCTGGTTGGCAATGACAGAAATACAGTCAAACTGATCTAAGCAAAAGAAATGGGAGGATCCTGGAGATTCCCACTGTGGGTAGTAGCTGGAAATCTGGAGCCAAGGACTCAGATGCTGCCTGAACCTTCTTGTTTCTCTCCTAGGGTAAATGGGCTTCACTGTGCCTCACTGAAGCCTTATTTCTAACAGTGCCACAATTCCCAAGCTTTACAGCTCATGAGTGTCAATATCAGGAAAGACAGACACTCAATCTCTGTCTTCCTATTCTAAACCTTAGCACCATTGAGACAAAGTCTCCTTGGACCAGAGTGTGTCTAGGTTCACTCTAGGACAATACATCTCCAACCAGAAAGACAGGGGCTCAGAGAAGGAGGTCTTACTGTAAAGGACCATCTACTTCAATTGGTAACTACTGCAGTGGACAGCATTTACATGTTGAAAGAAATAACTGGGAACCTAAGCAGTTGTCTTGATTATGATGCTCATTTCCTATGTGACTTTGGATAAATCA